AGAGAGAGAGAGAGAGAGAGAGAGAGAGAGAGAGAGAGAGAGAGAGAGAGAATTTATGTGCGAATGTATGAGCATGTTTGCGTGAATGTCTGTGTGACGGAAAGGGGTCATACCTTCGTACATAAACAGAATGCATAGAGAGAAATAGGAGACAAACTGAATAAATAGAGAAAAACAAAAGTATAACTCAGTATCTTAAATTGTAAGACTATCAAAGGAAAGTGGGCCTGCGTTTGTATCAAAAGTAACACACATGATAATTAGCAGCCTTGTGTCATAAAAATGTTGCAACACTAACTTACAGCAGATTGAATGGGATTTATTGATAAGGGCCCCCGTGTTTCTTCTGATCACTCAAGAAATATCTTCAAGAGCATGGGGCGAAGGCAAGTTTTGTCCAAGCGTAAAGTGTGTATCTACTCACCGATTGACAGAATTTAGATCATTAAGGAGGCAGGCTTCCGACCCTGCCTGTCCGGGCCAACCTGCGAGGGACACAACATCCCAGCAGAAAGACGGATATCATAGTATTATACTCTATAAAAGTGTATCGAGAATCGATTTCGGATCTCCTGCGTGTGACAGCGAAGCACCTTACTACTGCACCACAGAATGACGTTGGTTGTTCGAGATTTCTATAATTGATTGCTAACTATAATATGTGAGTACGATGCGTTTCCTCATAAAGAATCTTCGCCGTGTCAAGTTGATTAACATAGAAAAAGTTTTAAAAGGCTTGAACAGAAATTGCCATTGCCCTATCCACTGATGAGAAAGCCGCACCGTGCAAGGTCAAGGTTAAGATACCTAAAGTATGCCAAAGATTTACTTTACCTAAAGCAAGCCAACAAATTGACCACAAGCAACTCCTGCGTTGGTAAACTGGCGACTGCAGTGACTCCAAAGCACGGTCAAGGGATCGATGAGTCCAATAAATAGTCAGCGTGCCAGCCAAGCAAACAGTAGGCTCGGCTACCTCATCCCTTTTGACTGCTGCTCCACCCAGGCAGTCCGAACGCGGACATCGCGTAGAATTTCAACAGCGTTGATACAGCTATACTGTCACATGATCTGGTTACGTTGCTGTGCTGGGTTGACTTTTTTTTTGTTTGTCTGTTTGTTTTTGTCAAACTTTTAAGATACGCCATTTCAAATTGAGTAACTCGAGACGAAAAATAAATGTGTAGTAAATGTATTTATTTATTAATTCAGTTTTGTTTCATGTGTGTGTAAACTAAAGCTCATGATGCAGGTAGCTGGGGAGTGCCACGGGTAGCGCCTTCTTGCAGACATTCCCTCTGTTCTTTCTGTTTGTCTGTCTGTCTTGCTCTTTTTCCATTCACTAAATTGTGGCCAATAGTGTCGCTGAGTTTCTCTTATAATCAAGGAGTTTAAAACTAATGGAGCCTCTTCTCTCTCTTCGCGGCGCCACGAGCAGTACGCCGCGGTGGGGATCAAATATGGCC